AATAGTAATTTCCATTCCTATGTCGATACGATATACTCTGATGAGCTTGAGATAAAAGATACAACAGAGTCTGACACATCTGTTTCTTTCTTGGATATTTTACTTGAAAAAGACGTTAATGGTAATCTAACAACCAAGCTATATGATAAACGTGATGACTAACTTTTCTATCGTCAACTTCCCTTACCTATGCACCAATATACCTTCATCACCTTCATCACCTGCATACGGAGTATATATATATATATCAGTTGATTTGATATGCAAAAGTATGCTTTACGTATGAACAATTTCTAAAACGAGCAAAATTATCGACAATCAAGTTAATAAATCAAGAATATCAACAGTCTCGTTTAAAGTCATAATTTCGTAAGTTCTATGGTCGATACAATGACCCTCTCAGCATATACAATTTATCATTAAGTCAAATGCTGACTAAAGTTTTTCATACTTATTGTTAGATTTTTCTAATTATTGTTGGATTTTTCCGTTATTTCCCGATTTCCCGATCATGACAAGGAGCACACGGTGGGTGTGACTGGTCAGCAGGGGATGCTCACTCCTCCATGGCACCTGATCCCACCTCAGATGTTTCGGAGGTCCATGTTTGCTCTGCTCCTATTTTTTTAATTGTTTTATGAACTTTGAAAATGAATATTGTTCGTTATCTCCATATCTTGGTATTCATAATGTCATGTTCTCGGAATAGTGGGTGTTTATTACTTATTTTTGCATTATGTGATATTGTCAAGAATATGAGAGGAAGTCCTGGCTTACATAAGAGTACGGCTCCTTGTTTCCAGTAAAGAAAAAAATAAAATGAGTAAGTCTTATAAATCAACTTTTTTTTCCAATAAATCACAAATAATTGATATGGTATTTTCTTCTCACGTATAGCTATCTGGATACAAAACCGTATCGTCAAAATACCCTATTTTTATGCAGTTGTGACGACATCGTATTGAAACTCTCCAAGAAAAATTAATAATTTAACAGTATAATGAAAAAAGAGATTGCATATATATTGATATAACTTAAGAGTTTATTTGATATGTTTTTTTAAGTTCTTAAAACTCATTGTCAGAGCTGAACTGATTCTTAGAATAGATATACATCTACTATTGCAGATATTTCAGTTGCTTTAAAGGTTTAACAACCTAGCTTGAAGATTTACCGTTCTTTTCAAAGATGTGTGTAAATATTAACAGAAAAATTAAAATATAGCATTTTTTTTTTAATTGTAAAATGTTTTATTACACAATTAAATACTTTGACAAAAACTTAGTTTTGAAATGTATGAATGAGAAATTTCAATTATTTTGAATTTATTTTTTCTGGAGAATATTGTTAAAACTAAGATTTATTCCTTTTACAAAACATTTGATATATAATCTTCTGAAAGCCTCAAATTAGTGGAAGAGCTTGTACTCTGCGGGTTTGAGAAACCAATTGCACTCATAGCAGAAAAGGTTCATAAAAGTCATTCATTATAAATTCGGTAAATGGCTTTACAAAAACATGTTTCCTGTCTAAGAAAATACCATTCATTCCAGGTCACACATAATGCAAGATGATTTAATAAAAATAATTTATAACATTTGGCATTAAGTGTTTCTGTTTCCTACCCAAACGTTTTGTAGCAATATAAATGTAGCCGTCTAAATCATCATAGTTTTATCTCCTTCTAATTGGCTGAATCATTTTGCCTTTCTATCAGTAAAAACCATTGTTTTGTAACTATGAGAAATATTGTCTGATGAAAGTAATTACATCAAAATAAATTTTAGTTTGATATTTAATGTCTATATTGGAGAGAATCTTATAGTTTCCGCGATTACTGGGAAAAATCTATCGGACAATTCTTAATCCCTACCTTCCACCATGTCAGAAAATGCATTCCTTTCTCTAAGGGATATTCTGAATAAAGAAATATAACTCCTCTCAAAAACAGAAACTGAAGAAATTCGTTATGAATGACATTATGTTGTTGCCAATCTAATGAAAGAGATTTATGATATCACATTAACATTGCCAGCTCTTGAGATAAGACAACAGAGAAAGTAAGAGAAAATTCAAGACTCAAGAAATTGAAAATTCAAACGTGCAATTTTTAAAATCTTACATGTGAAGATATAAAACTTTCATTAGAGATATCACTACCTTGTTAAGAAAAATTGATCTTTTCAGAGAGAGAATTATGAACAAGTCTGGATATTACAGACATTAAAGCACAAATGGAGAATTTTACTTACACAAGACTCAAGAACAGCTTGGGGGCTAATCAAACGAAGGCGGACTTTTGTCAAAACTTTTTATCAAAAGTTATACAATAGCAAAATTGGTAGACATTTTAAACAATAATTTTAAAATGTTTGAATTAAGAATTACAAATATATCATGAATAATAAAATAAATACGCACGCTAACTCTTGATTCCCGCCTACATTTTGGAACAATTTAATTAATTATAAATAGAAATTCGGCCATAAAATCTTTGTATAACACAAAGAACAATTCCATGGTAATTGATGAATTGTCTTAATACCAGCGCTAAACAGTAAATTATCCATAATTTCAGTTCCTGAAAGGAGGGTAGACGATATTTTTCATTGAGATCGGAGTTCCAAACATCACCATATTTTGAAATAGTCTTGAATATGATTAAATGTTCCATATACCTTTTCGTACGTTTCAGGCAAATAAATAAAACAAAAATATATCATCAAAATATAATGTTTCAGTTGTAAATAGTTTTGAAATTGGTAGAAAATATGCATTTTTATCGTTTTTTTGTCAATAAACATATGCCCTCCCCCCCCCCCCCTATTTGCTTTGGAATAAAATCTGTGAAATAACATTCCATATTAAAAAGTAATTTTTGTGACACGGGGGGAAAGATGTTTTAAATTTTTTTTCCGTTTTTTGTTGACAAGTTTTACCAAAATTTTAGAGTAATCTCTCTTTTTTCCCAAATAAGTAATGTTTTATGGAAATCTATATAATTATCTATAAAAAAATATTAAAGACTCATCGAATATGTTAACTTTTGAAAATTGACTTGGAGGTAGTCGGGAGAACAATACTATCGTTCACAGTTCTTTTTTTCTTCTTTTCTTCAAAATTTTAACTGTATCATAAGTGCTATGCCGCAGTTAGGCTTATCTTTATTATTTACAAACAATAAGTCATCTCTCTTTAAATGGCGAAAATAAAAAAGAGAAAAAAAAAATAAAACAAAATGTCAAAGTCACAATTTACCCATTGCCTGATAAGCCAAATTGTGACTCAATATTTGCTTAGTGGACTTTCATAAGCTATGTTCTCCTTTTTGAAAAATGGCTTTTGTATGTAAATGGAATAGGCGGATATTTATTGAACTCTGAATCAGGCGATATAGGGTCTCATGGACAGTAAAATCTTATCAAAAGACGTAAAAACGATAAAGAGAAAAAATTAGCAGTTTACCGTTGCGGACACAACGAAAGCAAAATTACCCGGTACGAAATACCAACAAAACTACACATGGTTCCAAAACTACTGTAAATGGCATGTAATACTGACAGATTTTAGTAAGTTGGTTATTGACACAAAAATGTTAATTTTAACATTAATTAAATGTTTTATTTATAACATGTCTGTATTGAAATATTTACTCCAAAAACTGTTTTAAACATTGTTTTCTTAAAGCAATATAAACCATGTAATTACAAAGTATATGTATGTACTTGCAGTTTTTTATTATAAGTTCTGCAAAGAAATATTGAGATTTGGTGTTGAAAATTAAAAAAAAAACAATTCTCTCCTTCTCTCTCTCTCTCTCTCTCTTTCCAGATTCAATTATTCAATTTCTCCATAAAAAATGGAGGAAACATCCCAACTCACACTATTTTATGTGCCTGAAGTTTGTAGGCTTTAATGTTAAACCTACTTTGGTCTTCTTTTATTAAAAAGATGACCTTATCGATAAAATATAATGACATCTCATACATGCATGATCGTATATTAAATTCTTACATTTCTACCCAAGGACCGATTTCCTCTTGTTGTTATTTGCAGATAAATTGTAATATATACCCAAAATTTGAATAATACAATCTTACCTTAATCAAAATCGGGATCAGATTTGAGTAAACCTCAAAATAGACATTATAAATGCTTCCTTCTGCAAACAAGGTGTATAATTTTTCAAATCCACAATTTTGATTTGAATGTTTTATAAAATAATTCATGTATATATGTATTGAGTTTTAAATGTCTGTTAACCTTGGTGCAACCGGTTTAAATTGCCATTAATCTTAACATCACGTTAATGCATAATTTACAAATAGTCTATTTTATGCAACCGAATCCTGGAAAGCATCTTTTATATGAGTCTGCTGCTCTCTCATTGTGAGTAATTGAAACGCTGGATTACTAATGGAGGAAACGACTTTTATAGTTTAAATGGAATCAAAAATTAATTTCCAGTGCCGCGGGAAAACAGATTTAAATTAAAATGATACGCTGCGTGAGGTTTTTTTATAACCCTCCGTCTTGGCTAGAGTAAAACCATATTTGGAGGAGGGGATTTCAATTATCTATTGAGCTTTTTGGAAACAATTTTTAGAACACAAAGGTTAAAGATAGTCATACAAATTCACAGATAAGAAGATTAATATTGTGCAGTCGTGTAATACCTGGTGAAAAAGAAAGAAAAAAAATCATTGTTTTAAAGAAAGATCATCAATCGGACTAAAAAGAAAGTACATCCCTCTCTGGTACCTTTTACAAAATAGGTCGCACAAATAGTTGCAGAATTCTTCTACGTTTATGACGTCAAAGTAATAAAAAAGGAAACAGTACTTATCGCAGTTTTGTTCTTGATATCTCGATTATCCAAATAGAACATGACACAGGGATCACGAAATAATACTTTCTTACAGTTTTGTCATTCCTTCTAGGTAAATGATACTGTATTAGATAATTGTACTTGATGGTTTAGATCCAGGGGTTTGCTGTATGCATTTTACAATTCTACATATTAAACGTTGCTTAAAGTTATACGAAACATTCAGTCGTAGTCTAATGCACGATAGCACTAGAGACAATGGAGCGGATATTAGTTGTTATATTAATTTCTTTCCTAGAGATAGCGTGCCATCCCTTGCTTAAAGAAGGCGATTCATTTGAAAATCCACAGTTATTTCTCAGTACCACGTCGAGTAAAGTATCCAGCGTTTTGAGAGAAATTCTGAATCAAGAAAGCTTAGTGCGCCTGTCAATGGTACAAAAAATTCAGAAGCTGGGTATGGATTCCATCGATAACAAAAATATTACTCAGGTCATGAAGAAAAGACTTGATGACCTAATTTATGAGGTAAAGGCATTGGAGTCAGGTTATCAAAGAATGGAAAAAGAGAACTCAGCACTTAATGAAAAATGGAAGTTCATGCGGTCTTCGATGGCTAACACTACAAGTCTTACACTTAACAAAATTTATCCTTTAAATGAAACAGAGATTTTACTTCTTATGGAACAAATGTCTTCTCTAAAACGGGAAAATGATGAACTTACTCGGGAACGTACAGAAATAAATACACAACTTGTGGTTTTAAACAAGACAATCAGTTTGTCAGAGAGATATTTGGAAATTTTAAAAAACGAGACGATGTTCAACAAGCATAAAATTGACATTCTTGTAGAAGAAAACGAGAGTATGCAGAAAAAGTTACTTCAGATGAACGAAACATTTAGCGAGAACAACAAAAATGACTTAATTACACGTATGCAGGTAGTTGAAGGTAGTTTTGGAAGTTTTGAACATACAGTCAATAAAACAATGGAAAATCTTTTTCAGGAACAAAACAACTTTAGCAGACAACTAACACATCTTTCCACACAAATCACAGGTATGTATCAATATTTGATTTACGAACATATGAATTTTCTTGGATATACTTTGATGTGAACATCAATCCGAAAAAATGAGTCAGAAGTTTAAATTGATAAAAATGCATTGACACGAGTATTACATGAGGGAATATTTTCTTCCCAATGGATTCAGACTGACAAAAAAAAAACGGAATCAGTTTTGATTGGAATATTTTACTTCACAGTTCCTGCATTTGCATACTAGACTGGTCAATACTTAAAATAATTAAAACGCATTATTAGATTCACATCTGACAAACCGCAAAACGTTGTAGGCCATTATGATTTGAATAAAATGTCTTATTCTAAAAAAATAAACAGTATAATAAGTCAAACGCTTACATAAAATCTGACGCCTTTGTAAATTGAATCAGCTGTGCATGGCCTTCTTATTTAAATATCAATTATTTTGAAATCTGCGTTTATTCATCGAAAAAAAAATAGTTGCTAATGTAGAGTTACATAATAGAAATTATTGAAAAGCAAAAAAAATCAGTCTAAAAAGTTAATTAAGACATCAATATGGAATAAATTCCTCCTAATCTGATACGAGAGGCGATTTCCACATCAACACACCAACTGATCAGTCTTCTTTAATCTGGCAATATTGTTATATATATATATATATATATATATATATATATATATATATATATATATATATATATATATATATATATATATATATATATATATATATATATATATATATATACGACGAAAAAAGATTTGTTGGTGATAAGAATCAATATCTTCATTTCAATGGATAAGCAGAATTCATTGAATGAATGATTTTAACTAACAAGGGTTAATTTATGTTACATTCCCTTCTTTAGATTGATTGATTGTTTGTTGTTTTTACGTTCATCTCGAGATTTTTTCACTCATATGTAAACGCCACCACTTGTCGGTAGAGAGCTTCAAATTTTTTTTCCATTCTTTAGAAAAAGATCCTTAATTTAAATGTGCATATAACAAATGAACATAACAAATGAACATTTCTTTCTCCATTAGAGAGACTTAAATCTCCTCCTTCCAAGAGTAAATCCATCGCTTTTTATGTCTACATGTCTCGGAACACAGGGGCAATATCTGGTCAGCAGATCTTGACATTTGATGTCGTGAAAACTAACGTTGGAAATGGATACTATTATGCAACTGGAATATTCATCGTTCCGGAAACTGGCATTTATGTATTTACTTGGACAATACGAGAAAACAGCACTAACCGTCACTCGACACAGTTAGTGAAAAATACTGATGAAGTTGGAATAATTCACACACAAGTTCACCACGATTCAGACATAGCCGGAACCGGAATTGTTGTTGCGCATGCCAATACAGGAGACAGCGTTTTTGTAAGAACTCACTCATCATGGAATTATGGAATTATTGTAAGCAACAGTGCAGGAAGATCGTCGTTTGCTGGATGGAAAATTGAGTGAAAATTGTACATTCTTATTGTAGAGACGGGTGTTGTAGGTGTTTGTAGTACAGATTCTAGATAAAGTTTTTTTCAAGAAAAATATCATCCATTAAATTGAAAATAACTTACATTTTAGATTTATTATTGGTGACTATTAAAAGTGATTTTTTTAATATGTGACTTTATACTGGAAATGTTGGTTTGACTAGAGTTGTCCATCGAAAAAAAACCCACTATCTACAAGATTGACTTTCCTAAAACCTTGGAATGTCATCTCTTACGTTTTACTAATGTCTCAGAATAAAAGGAAAATGTAACATTTTTGTTCAAATTTTAACCATTTATTTCAATGTGGGTCTCCGAATATGAAAATTTATGTAGAAAAAATTATAACCATTTAGCGATTTTCAAAGAAAAAAAAATACATTTAAACATTAGTAATTCTTTGAGAATTGCTAAAACCTTACCGTTCCTTTTGTCCTTATTTCACGACCACTTTTTCTATACCACCTAAAACGTTTTAATAAAGGTGCAAAGTAGACATTTTCCTAATTGATCTTATTCTTTCCTTTAGTGAATTGGCTATTGAGTCACTGAGGACATCATAGCAAAAATGAGTCACTCTTGCATCACGCTCTTCTGCTGTCCAGTTTCAAATTTTAGTGCTAGTATTAAGGATCATGAGTATGTTATATACTACAAGCAAAAATGGCAAAGAAATCGGAAAAAGTTTATTTATTTGTCTTCAAATGCACCAACCTAATTATTAACATTTACATGTTGTTTTATTCCTTTCTCTGTGTCCAATTTCAACTGTCTACACACGAAGAACAGACATTACTTTGATTTCTGAAAACGGAAGCACCGCTTCAAATTTCATTTTTTCATTCGCATCTAGTGCGGTATACGTAAAAGGATACTTGATTTTTAAAGTCTTTGTTGGAACAAAGAAGCCTAGGTGTTATGTGTGGACAACTGGAACTTCTTGCTTATCCCCCCGTGTTTTTTTTTTGTGTGGCTGTAAATGAATATTTAAAATGTATAGAAAAAATAGAGTCATATACAGATTTTTTTTATTAGTTATGTTAAGACTCACAAAGCACTATATGTAGGTGGATTAAAATGATGATGTTAAGTCCAGAATTGATAGGTTAAAATGGCAGGTCAACAGGTGATGGTCACTCCTCTAAACACCTGATCTCACATGTGGTTTGTCCGTAAGTCTATGTTTTTGCTCTGTTTAAGTTTCTTTTTCTTTAATTGATTCATGAGACTTTTAATTTTACCATCATCTTTTACAAAATTCTGCATCACATGGTGTAAGATATGTTTCAGCTTAAAGAGCATCTGAAAACTGTATACTAGTACCGGATGGTTATATATTAGATATTGCAGGTCGGACAATGCACATACTTTTGCTAAGTTCAATAGAAAACCTTTCAAAATGCAATATTGTATCAACAAAGCTTTATTAAACAAATGGAGATAATGAACAGTATTCAAAATCAAAAGTCCATAAAACAATACAAAATAGGAGCAGAACAGACACGGACCTCCAAAACATCAGAGGTGGGATTAGGTGCCATGGAGGAGTGAGTATCCCCTGTTGCCCGGTCACAGGCGCCGTGTGCTCCTTGTCAAGATCGGGAAATAACGGGGAAAAACTCTGTATAAATAATAGATTAAAAATAAATAAACCTTCAGTCAGTATTTGACTTAATGATAAATTGTACTTGCTGACAAGGTCATTATTTCGACAATAAAACTTACGAAATGTTGACTTTAAACAAGACTGCTAAAATTCAACTTTCACGAACTTGTTTGTCAATAATTTACCTCGTTTTAGAAATTGTTCATACGTAGAGCAAGCTGTTTCGTATCGAATCACATGAGACATTTAAACTCCGTTTGCGGGTGATGAAGGTATACTGCTGCATAAGTAAGGGAAGTTGACGATAGAAAGGTCATCACGTTTATCATAGATCTTGGTCGTTAGATTACAATAACCGTAACGTCTTTCTTAAGTAAAATATACAAATATGAAACAGATGTGTCTGACTCTGTGGTATTTGAAATTTTAAGGTGTATTTTCATAATTTGATATCGATAGTGTACAATATCAGATTGAGTTTTGCATATACATATGATGATATTATAAGTGTAATTCGAATATGTGCTCCGTGAATTTGTATTGTGCTTTCTTGTCACATTGAATGGTGGAATATCAAGGATTCATCTTGCCATTTTCTTGTAGTTAAATTAAGAATTCACTTTATTCAATGTTTTTGTATTTTTGTTGAAGTCTCATATGATCCGTGATGTGGTATGATGTTAAAAATCTCCACATCTAAATGAGCTTGATGAAGGCGACAGTAGTGATTTTGTGAAGGATATGGAGAGAACGAACAATTTTCAATATAAAAGTCCATCAAACAATACTAAATTGGAGCAGAACAAACACGATCCTCCAAAACATCAGAGGTGGGAGCACGTGTTATGAGCATCCCCTGCCGACTGGTCATACCCGCTGTGTGCTCCTTGTGATGATTGAGAAATAATGGAAAAATTCGTCGTCAATTCAGTGAGTAGATAATGGACTAACAATAATGAAAAACGCTTTTTAGTATTTGACTCAATGAAAAATTGTATTTGCATGCTGACTAGGTGAATATATCGACCATAGAACTTACGAAATGGTGACTGTAAAAGAGACAGCTGAAATTCTTGTTTCATCAACTTGTTTGTCAATAATTTACCACGTTTTAGAAATCGTTCATAGGTAGAGCATGCTCTAGCGTATTGAATCAACTGAGATATATAAACTCCGTATGCGGGTAATAAAGGTATATTGCTGCATAAGTAAGGGGTGTTGACGATAGAAAAGTTAAAGTCATCACGTGTATCATTGATCTTGTTTGTTAGTTTACCTTTTCCAAGATTTTCTTAGATTGTCTTTTCCAAGCAAAATTCCAAGTATGTGTAAACCTTGGTTGTATATTGAAATAAAACAACAGGTTTCAAAGTTCAGCAGGTTATATTATTCCAATTCCAATTAGTTTCACAAATGGTAATCAATACAATTATGGCCCTGCAAAATCAATGTACCAAACCTCATCAATGTATACAATAATCAAGTGTTCATCTTATACTACAAAACACTAATCATAAAATAGTCTCTCACTGAAAATACGTATCTGAACGCATTTACTAAATATAGTTATATTTTAAACACTTATAAATTTAATTTATAAAGTGATCTCCACTGAACCTATTTAACTATGAAAGTTTAGTGATAAAATAAAACAATTATTTACACTTACATTTACAAATAATATTTAACAAACGACTTACCAAAATTATGGAATGTAGGCTCTCCAAAAATATAGGAAATTTATCTAAGTGCTGTGCTGTGCTAAAATAATTAAACATGCAAGTTTTTAACTACTGGAAATATAGAAATCTCATCCTGAAACAATGCTCAAACTTCAAAGATAAAAACCAAACAAAAAGTCAAACATACCATGACTGAAAATCCAAAGTCCACTAAAGTAAACTAAATATAGACACAACCTGCTGGAACCACAGCACTGGACAAGAGTGACCAACACCCAAAATAGATTCAAAACCTGTCTATGGTCACTAGTCATGTGATATGTCCACACCAATCGCTCAATAGAGTTTTGGTGGGAAAATAATTAATTCAACAAAATGTAACATAAATCAACACAGACACTTTTAATAACTTTGTAATTTTATATATTTGTAAAACTTTTATTTATCTACCTATATTTCATAATTATAAACGCAATTTTAAAGTTATATATACAAAATTCTGCTATGATACATCCTCCCCCTGGCTATGAAATGATGTCCCATCATTTTACAATGGAATCAACCACTTTCTGTATCAAAGCCGGAGAAGTAGCTTTCAAAACATCCGAGCAGATTAAGTTCGTAATTAACTGCAATTTTTCCTTACCTGCATCATTAACTTCTCTCTCTGACTCATGCATATGCCTCTTGCCATTTTGGTTTCTTCCTAACCCTAGCTGACCTATGTAAACCAGTTTCCTCATTACCTCCCTGGGCCACAACCTCAGGTTGTAGATTTAGTTCTTCCTGTTGCTCATGTGGAGTTTCCTCTGGCTGACCTTCTTCTTGAGCTTCCACTGGTTCCTCTTCTTGTTGAACTTCTTTTGGTTCCTCTTCTTGAGTTTCCGCTGGTTGCTGAGTCTGCCCTGAATCTGGCTGTGGTGCCACATCATGTCTGACTTCAACCATATAAACTTCATCTTCAGTCTCACTGTCACTGCTTTGGTATTTTCTCTCCTCTCGCTTTGAATGGTCCACCTTCTTAATCTGTGAACTCTTCTTCTCTGTTTTCCTTCTTACACTTGTGTCAGGCCTGACATCTGTAAGTTCTCTTCTTGTTCCTGTAGGAATGAATAAATTCCTGTGGACTGTCTTCTCTACACCATCTTCATCTGAAATTAGAAAAACTGGAAGTGTGAATGTGTGTGTGAATGTGACTAAAAAACTTATGTAACTTTACATGTCACTTCGTGAATAAAAAAAAAAAAAAAAAAAAAAAAACTGGAATATCTGGGTTAGGTTGTGATTTAATAAAATAAACTTTCTCCTCAAACTTATCTGCTATTTTATGCTTCCCTTCGTAAGCTAAAATCCGTAATAAAACTTGATCTCCAATACTAAGCTTCTTTGCCTTCGCTTTCTTGTCAAAATGACTTTTCTGCTTTATTCTTGACTTTTCTGCTGTTTTCCGTACTATGTCAAAGGTCTTCTCCATTTTGTTCTTCATATCTGTAATATACTCATCATAATTTGGTTTCTCTTCACTGGTATCCTCTAATCTGAATGCTAAGTCTACAGGTAGTTTTGGCTTCCTCCCGAACATTAATTCAGATGGGGAATACCCAGTACTTTCATGTTTTGTACAGTTGTACGCATGCACTAAAGATGGTATATACTTTTTCCAATCTTGCTTTTCTCTATTTTTCAATGTTCCTAGCATACTTAGGAGTGTCCTGTTGAATCTTTCGGTCTTTCCATTTGACATCGGGTGGTATGGAGTAGTTCTCGATTTTTCTATCTTTGTAATTTCACATAATTCTTTGATCAGATGACTTTTAAACTGAGCTCCTTGATCACTATGCAATCTAGCTGGAATTCCATAATGTACTATAAAGTTGTTGTAGAATGCTTCTGCTGTTGTTTCTGCAGTTTGGTTTCTTGTTGGAATGGCCATGGCATATCTGGTATAGTGATCAGTAATGACTAAGATGTTACAAATCCCTCCTTTGCATGGTTCCAATGTCAAGTAGTCTAAGCAAACTAATTCTAATGGATAAGATGATGTTATGCTGACCAACGGAGCTTTCTGACATGTTGACTTTCTCCTTAGACATCTGTCACAGATCTTTATCCAGTTTTCTGTATCAAAACTCATCCCTACCCAATAAAATCTGTCTCGCAATAGAACTGTTGTCCTATCTTTTGCGGGATGACCCATGTTGTTGTG